TGTCATTATGTGTGTCGTGCAGTCAGCCAGATCTTCCCAGCTTCTCCCATTCAGGAGCCTTTTGTTGCGGCACGCACACTTCGTAGTTCTCTGCAATCCCCTTCGAAGACGACTTTGGCAGTCTGGCTCTTCGTCCGGACACGGAGCCGAAGGTTCCAGCTGCCTTTGGCATTGTTGCCGAGCTCTTCTGACGAATGTGACGGATTGTTGAATCATTCTTGTAGCCTTGATGAATAACCCCGATTCGAGCCCTGTTATGTTCCTCGCGGAGGGCAGCCTGCGAGGTCTGCAAGGTCAGCCCAGCTTTCGCGATTGAAGAACACAAGAATTCTTGCTGCAGCTCCACCACCGCGGCCCCTTGCCACATTCCCAGCCCGAACACACGCGGCTTCGCCTCGCCAGGCTGGTGCGGACATGTGGGCGTCAGCAGCACGATGTGCACCTGGGCTTTTGCATTGTTGCAAATGCAGATGCATTTGCCATTTTGCTGATTTTTCTGGAGCCATGTGGAGTCGTGAAGCACTTCCTGTCTGTGATCCCCCCTCGTTCCATGCAGCCAGCCCGCAAGGTTTGCCCAGGCTCTGTCATTCAGGGGATTCAGGGATCCTTGGGATCCTTGCTGGTGGCGCACTCCGCAACTCCTCTGCAGCAGAGTGGCTGTTCAGCGGTACAAGATTCCAAAAGTTCCAGGCTCCTGCATTGCAACATTCCTCTGGAACAATAGGTCTTTGGGATGGGGGGCCACTGTGGATGCCACCGATTTCCAGGACCTGTTTACTCCACAGTGGGGTGGGCTGAGAAAGGGGCCTGCAGAGTTGTAGGCAGACACGTCGTGGCAAAGTCCTGGAACCTTCCTTGATGACCGATCCCGAGAATGGGTCCAGATTCACTTCCCACGAACCCCTCCATCCCCTCCTGGCCTGGCCACTCCCCTAGACTCAGTAAGGAGTGAAGAGATCAACTGCCAAGCCGCCAGATGAACATGATGGATTGTTGAACCCCTACAGTGACCCGCTCGTGATGTTCCTCGTGCAGGCTGCACGGGTCAGCCCAGATGTCATAATCTCAGTTCCGGCCAGCAAAGCATGCAAAGCATGTGGATTGGTCCTACCGGGCGGCCGTGAACAGGTTGACCTCGGCAGCTCACGTCCTCAACGCCGCAAGGGTCATCCAGTTCCAGCTGGCCCTTCTACTGCTGCGCTGCCTTCAGATGCGTTTGACAGTTTGCTGGTTGGCTACATGTGTGGAGGTGTGAAGTTCTCCTGTTCCGTGATCCCGACTCGTGTGCATGCTGCAAAGCCGCGAGCGAGCTTCTCGGATCCAAGACTTGCCCAAAGGGTCCACGTACCCAGTAGAAACTTAAGCCCCAAAAGGGACTACATAGCAACATCATAGTAACTACATAGGTACTTGGACCCTTTGCACTTTCTAACAAAAATCCCAGGCCGAGACCAATGAACCATGCAGATCTCTCCCACCTGGCAGCATGGACGTCAGCAGCACCACCCGTCAGCGCAAGGAGCACAAGGCTTCAGCTCTTGCATTGCTTCAAGTGCCTCTAAATACGCCATCCTCTTGACGTTGTTGGAAACTGTTGGGATTCTGAAATTCTGCTCTGTGTTCCCGCATTGTTTCGACCCTCGTCCTGCAAAGGCTGCCCAGCCTCTGCATCTCAAGTGACTTTCAAGAGTTGCGGTGGGCGATTCACGAATGCACTCCGCAACTCCTCGACCCAATCTCAGCCAAGCAGCGCATGCAGATCTGTCTTACCAGTTGTGGATGTGTGGACTTCGGCAGCACGGTTCCTATTGCTGCAAATGTCCTCAATGGAACGCAACAACTCACTGATGGTGCTGGAGCCTTGTGGAATTTTGAAGTGCTCCGCGACTCGCCAATGTTCTTCGCCAGCTTGCAGAGTTTGCCCATAATTTGCCATTCAAGACTCTTTTCGGCAGCCAGTGTGCTCCGCATTTCCTCCACTCAGCCCGAGTCCAGCAAGGCCCGCAGATCTGTTTTTCCCAGTTCTTGTGAACTTTCAGAAGGAGTTTGTCACAACGTCGCCAGGAGCGACAGGATTTGCGATACATTGCTGCCCCTTGCGGAGCCCAGTTTCAATGGTCCAAGCATGTTCGCTGCAGTTTCTTGCTGCAGTCCCAGTCAAAGCCAGCAGGCGGCTAAGTCTTTCGAAGGCGAAAGCTGGCCAGAATGGAAACGCCTGCATGAGAGCCGGTGAGGAAGTAGAATCAGGTCCGTGTCCATTTCATCTCGGCATTATGTCTCATGAGGGTGAGCTTTCAAGAGCATACTGAGAGTAAATTCCCAGACCCAGCGATGCTGTGCGACTCGGGGGAGCTCATGGTGTTCCTTGCGTTCCCTGTGCCATTGCCCAGGGGCCAAAGCGACTAACTGCGACTGCTGTTCTGCACACTTTTCAGCCCCAGTCAGCAAGACAAGATCGTTCCTGAAGGGGTGCATGTAAAGAACATGCTTGTTGCTTTCTCACGCGAGCAGGCGAAGCGGCGTAGCAGTCTTGGGGGGGCACTTTGTCTGGTCGGGAAAAAAATCGGCCTCCATAATTGTGCCAAGGGGCCCCACATCATTGTGTTACCTGCCCGACTTTGGCGCTCCGAGCAGGTCTGCCAAGTCACTTTTGCTTCCATGATCCCATGCTCGTGCAAAGCACGATATGTATATACCAGCAGCCTAAGACAATGTTTGTGTCCGCACCGGTGAGCACTTTGCAGCACGCTTCCTCAGCGGCGCAGGAGTCACAGCTATTGTCCTGTCCTATCCTTCGCTTGCAAATAGGTTGCCCACTCTCCTCTGGACATCTCTGGACATTGATTGTGGGACGGGCCACGGACTCATGAAGCCGTCCTAGCCCGTGAACGCTTGGCATTGGCTGCCTTACACAGATGGCCCGCAAAGTCAAAGTCTGTCCTGTTTCCACGGCGCATGGCTTTCATCAGCTACACTGTGCAATTCCATGCAGCAATCCCAACCTCACCGAAAGCAACCTTCCGATTTGTGGACTTCAAGTCTTGCTCCGGCATCACGCGCTTATTGTGGGCCCGGATCGCAGTTGCAAGACTGCGCGCAGGGGACCCGTGGACTCGTGGAGTCGCCCCCACGGTTTGGACGTGCCCTGCTCGAAGAGCCCGTGACTGTGAGAGGAATTCATAGCGCGCGCTGCTTCTGTGGCCTGATATGCTCGTCATCGGGCTCGCCCATCGAGAAGTCCAATCGCCTTGTATCTTGTGTGGAGGGTCGCTTTCCTAGGGCAAAAACTGGCATGTTCACAGAAGCGGATGCTCCGTTGTCGTGGTTAACTCCTTTCCGGACTTCTTGTACCCACGCCGCGAATCCGCGAAACCCTAAGCCCCTAAATAGGCCCTAGACTCTACACCGCATCGTTATCGTTGGTCCACCAGTCTGGCTAGCTGGCGAGCTTCAACACTGGCTGTCTGGTCTCATGCTCGCAGAGAGGCCCTGCTCCGAAGTAGAAGTGGGTCCTTGCGCAAAAAGAGGGGTGCCCCCCTTTTAGAACCCCAATAGTAGGGACAAGGACCCCCAATATTCAAACCTTCATGTCGGAAGTCCCCGTATGATCAGCAGTGCATTTCATGTAGACTCGACGTGGGTACTTGTGCCCAAGTTTGGGCAGGAACGCGACGTCTGCAGCTCGTGGCCATGTTCATAGGGTTCCTCGCGCAACTTGTCGGCAGTTAGCCCAAACCCCTCTTCCACAGGTGCAAAGATACTTCTAAACCAAATCATCCTCAAATTTCCTTTTGAGATTTGTTCCTCCATGTTTCTCTGGGAAAGAATAACGACTGCCTTGTTTTGACCGTTCCAGGCTGTGCAATTTAGCATTAGCTCCACGACATTGTTGTTTGGGTCGTCAGAGTCAAAATACAATGCTTAAACTAAACAAAGTGCCTACAAGCAACTGCAGGGCAAGTCTGAATGGAGCATTGGGCGGTAGGAAGGTTTGCAGTAGCAGCTGGCCTGTGGCAGTAGCTGTATCGACCTGAGCTGTGGGATGAAGCCCTTCAACTATCCGTGCCAGAGGCCCTGCTTGCTGCGGCCAGGACCTCGAAGCTGCAAAAGGTCCGAAAAAGAGTTGATCAAGGTGTTCAGACATGAAGACGATGATATGGAGACATGGTTCTCATTGCATATTCTGAATCGTTCCGAGATGTGTTGTCGATTTAGCTGCAAGTTCTAGGCGGTTTCTTGTGCAAGAAGCACGTGCGAAATTCGTGTTGGCATGGGCTTGTAGCGGATGTCTGAAAGGCATATTGTGTTGTAGCATATTGTACTCTGACAAGCGTTTCTTGCTGCATAATGTTTCTGATGCGGCGACGGTTCTTGAATCTCTATGTAGGATTGGTCTGACTTATTCTTCAAGAAATATCTTGGCTGGCTTGATTGGTTCACGCTGCTGTTCACGACCCATGAAAGGTGACGGTATGTGTGGCTGGGCGACTGCCCCAACCGACTTTGTAGTGACCCCCCCCACAGTCATATTCGAGACGCCCCAATAAAGGGATGACACTCCTTCATCTAGCATTCATTTCAAGAGGATGTGCTGAAAACCTGGCAGATGCTTTGGTGATGTCAGGGACAGGCTAGATGTCAACCAGTGCTGCGTGTAGCACTGCTTTCTCGGTCAATCATTCAAAGAGAAGTCGAGTGTGCAGGATTTTTTGCTTCGTAAATTAACTTGTCGTAGGCATTGCATTTTGAGAGAGCCACAGGCAGTCCTTGCACAGAGTCGCCGCAAAAACTCAGAGCATTGAGGGATACTGAGAGATGTTTATGATGTTTCATGTGCGAACTGGGAAATGGCTTGTTGCCCTTTGCCACCATTCAGCTTCATGGCCTGCGAACTCCTATACCCTGTGACTCCAGAAGACAGGCTGTGTGAACGTAAAAGTACTCTCACCGTTGGCATAGCGGGTACACGTGAAATCTTCAGTACCCCGCTGTAGCTAATCATGCTTGCTGCCGCGCCTCAGCGTGTTTGCTCTTTCTTAGCTGCCTTAGCTTTGTCCGCACGCTGCCCCCTCGAGTTTCCACGTGCCTTGGGCGCATCTCAGAACGGTGCTTAGTATGCGTAGAAGCACTGCGAAGCACTGCTCGACTTCAGGAATGACGTTGTGGATCTTGCTTTCATGCCTCTCGGTACTCATCCACGGTAACGATGAGCTCTGTGAAACAACAGGAGCCTCTCATTGTTTTTGTTCTCTCCAAGCCCAAGCCAGACATGACCTGACCATTCGTCAGGAGATGCTTCTACGCTGCTCCAGCACGATGTGAACCGTTCCCGTCAGCAAGGTGCCTGGCAGGACTATTGCGACAACTTGGCACGATCTTCGGAGGAAACTCTAATATCTGGTGCACTACAGGCGATACTCCGAAATCCGAGGAGATGGGTGTCCTCTCCCAGTACGTTGAAGACTTCGATGCATCTAGGTTGTTCGGGCTGACAATCAATGGGAAGCCGTACATGGTTATTGCGGCCGACCGTGAGCACATCGCTGGCAAGGCCAAGGGGGGAGGAGGCGGTTGCTTCATCTCTTGGAGCACTGCAGCAATTGTCCTCGGCAATTATGATGAGGGGGAATCGCCGGCCGATTGCCGCGAGAAGGTGAAGTACATGGCCGACTTCTTGATGAGCAGCGGGTACTGATGGTCTTGTTGGCCAAGGCTTCTGCCAAGGTCCGCCTGTGCAGTTCCGTAGAGGATTGTAGAGGCTTGCGCACCGCACGGTTGGGCACTGTTCCTTGTGCCTTTTATGGCCATTTATGGCTGAGGATTTCAAAATGCATGCATAGAACAGCAGTCGGAACCCATGAATGACAAGAGCCTGTTTCAGGGCTACACATGCCCTGCCCTTGCCAAAGCGGAAAGAACAGCCTTCATTCGGCATACGTCTGATCTTTCTACATACATGCATCTTGAGCAACCGGAGGGAGCCGCTGCTGAATAAAGGGATGACACTCCTTCATCTAGCATTCATTTCAAGAGGATGTGCTGAAAACTTGGCAGATGCTTTGGTGATGTCAGGGACAGGCTAGATGTCAACCAGTGCTGTGTGTAGCACTCCTTTCTCTGTCAATCATTCAAAGAGAAGTCGAGTGTGCAGGATTTGTTGCTTCGTAAATTAACTTGTCGTAGGCATTGCATTTTGAGAGAGCCACAGGCAGTCCTTGCACAGAGTCGCCGCAAAAACTCAGAGCATTGAGGGATACTGAGAGATGTTTATGATGTTTCATGTGCGAACTGGGAAATGGCTTGTTGCCCTTTGCCACCATTCAGCTTCATGGCCTGCAAACTCCTATGCCCTGTGACTCCAGAAGACAGGCTGTGTGAACGTAAAAGTACTCTCACCGTTGGCATAGCGGGTACACGTGAAATCTTCAGTACCCCGCTGTAGCAAATCATGCTTGCTGCCGCGCCTCAGCGTGTTTGCTCTTTCTTAGCTGCCTTAGCTTTGTCCGCACGCTGCCCCCTCGAGTTTCCACGTGCCTTGGGCGCATCTCAGAACGGTGCTTAGTATGCGTAGAAGCACTGCGAAGCACTGCTCGACTTCAGGAATGACGTTGTGGATCTTGCTTTCATGCCTCTCGGTACTCATCCACGGTAACGATGAGCTCTGTGAAACAACAGGAGCCTCTCATTGTTTTTGTTCTCTCCAAGCCCAAGCCAGACATGACCTGACCATTCGTCAGGAGATGCTTCTACGCTGCTCCAGCACGATGTGAACCGTTCCCGTCAGCAAGGTGCCTGGCAGGACTATTGCGACAACTTGGCTCTTTCCATGCGCAGCGCCACGATCTTCGGAGGAAACTCTAATATCTGGTGCACTACAGGCGATACTCCGAAATCCGAGGAGATGGGTGTCCTCTCCCAGTACGTTGAAGACTTCGATGCATCTAGGTTGTTCGGGCTGACAATCAATGGGAAGCCGTACATGGTTATTGCGGCCGACCGTGAGCACATCGCTGGCAAGGCCAAGGGGGGAGGAGGCGGTTGCTTCATCTCTTGGAGCACTGCAGCAATTGTCCTCGGCAATTATGATGAGGGGGAATCGCCGGCCGATTGCCGCGAGAAGGTGAAGTACATGGCCGACTTCTTGATGAGCAGCGGGTACTGATGGTCTTGTTGGCCAAGGCTTCTGCCAAGGTCCGCCTGTGCAGTTCCGTAAAGGATTGTAGAGGCTTGCGCACCGCACGGTTGGGCACTGTTCCTTGTGCCTTTTATGGCCATTTATGGCTGAGGATTTCAAAATGCATGCATAGAACAGCAGTCGGAACCCATGAATGACAAGAGCCTGTTTCAGGGCTACACATGCCCTGCCCTTGCCAAAGCGGAAAGAACAGCCTTCATTCGGCATACGTCTGATCTTTCTACATACATGCATCTTGAGCAACCGGAGGGAGCCGCTGCTGAATAAAGGGATGACACTCCTTCATCTAGCATTCATTTCAAGAGGATGTGCTGAAAACTTGGCAGATGCTTTGGTGATGTCAGGGACAGGCTAGATGTCAACCAGTGCTGTGTGTAGCACTCCTTTCTCTGTCAATCATTCAAAGAGAAGTCGAGTGTGCAGGATTTGTTGCTTCGTAAATTAACTTGTCGTAGGCATTGCATTTTGAGAGAGCCACAGGCAGTCCTTGCACAGAGTCGCCGCAAAAACTCAGAGCATTGAGGGATACTGAGAGATGTTTATGATGTTTCATGTGCGAACTGGGAAATGGCTTGTTGCCCTTTGCCACCATTCAGCTTCATGGCCTGCAAACTCCTATGCCCTGTGACTCCAGAAGACAGGCTGTGTGAACGTAAAAGTACTCTTACCGTTGGCATAGCGACAACACGTTAAATGACGCACGACGAGCTTTCCAGTTCAAGTGTAACGTGTTGGCAGGTTTTCTCCGCTGTCACGAATCGTGCCGGTATGGAAGTGCCTCATATGCAACGGTTAGAGCGCCAGAGTTTTCGCCGTGCTGCCCATGTCGGACGAGGTGGCACGGCGCGTAGCTCGCGGTCGATGCAACCCTCGTGACGCGCGAGGACGCTCGCCAAAGAGTGGGCCCACACCTTCGACCAGGCCACACGACCGTAGCCTCTCCGGCGAATCCATGGTGCGCACAGCCTGAGCCCTGCCCTCCGCCGGGCGTCCGACTCCTGTGTTGCCACCGCCGTGTGCCTACACGTCGCCCGGATGGAGACACAGACTTCCTGCCACTGCCTGACCGCAACAACGTCCATGTCATGGACTCCCTGAGTTAGGGGCCGCCCGAGCTCGTGCTGGAAAAAAAAATTGCCCAGCTTGCGGCGGATCCAAAGACCTTTCTGCCCTCCCGGTGCGCGCCCACGCAGTGGTCGACTGCGACCGCTGTGGTGGGTGCAGCCGACGCGTCCTTGATCGGTCCACCCGCGAGTCCTGGCTCGAATGTCCCTGCACATGGACCAGCTGAAGGACCGACCCCGCCTAGCTCGCCCCGATCGGCCCAGCCAACTCGTGGCTGTACGTTCCCCTATTGCATGCCGCCTTGGGAGCGCTCTCCGCAAGTGCCGCCCACCCTCCACTTCCCATCGCGGCGAGCTTTTGCCCGCCCGGCTCCCTTCTGAGGCAGCCGCGTTGCTGTCCAGCAGGCTCCTACGCCTGGGATGGACGGTGCGCTTGCTGACGACGTCCTTGCTGGAGTGCGAGTAGGCCGGATCGTTGCATTGCGAAAAGTTGGGGACGTTCTGCGCCGCCTGGCCACCCTCCTGACGCAGCGGTTCGCCCCCCAACTCCAAAAAGCATGCCTGCTCTTAGCACGTCTGCAGGGACATGCACGCGCTGAAGCCGTCGCATGCCTCCTCCGTGCTGGGATATTTGACCGCGTCTCCCGTCGAGCCATGCTGAGGGGGCTGTTTGAGCGTCCGTCTCTGCGGCCTCTGTGGCCACACGCGCGCCGATTCTACGCCGACAGCAGTTCCATGATGATGAGCGCCATCATGCCGGCGCTCTTTCCCCCTCGGGCGAACCATGCGCGTCGCACGTTGCCTTCCGATCCGACGCGAGGGCGCTTTCGGAAATTTTGCGGTCCTTTCTGAGCGGCTTTTGCAAGGCAGACTGGCGCCGCGCATGGTCATCGCCACCTGGCCTGCCGTGCATGGCGGTTTGGGTTATAATCTGCAGAGCGCGCAGCCCCCGCGGCATACTGGGTGGCCTGGGTTTACCGCTCCGGAACGGGGCACAGCTCGCTGTCGATACGACGCTCGTGTCTGCCGTCGACTCGAGCGGCCGGGCGCGCCATCAGCGCCGCGAGGAGGGCCCGGTGCTCCTACTTGCGCGCTTCTCCAAAGCGCGCGCCTACCTCGAGCTCGCGCTATCGAGGTCGGAGGCTGCTGGAGCTCCGAAGCCGCACGTTTCGCGCGCTTGCTCGCCCGATGTCGGGCTCGGGCGGCTCCGGCGTTGGTCTGCGCGCGCGGCGAACGCTGGGACGTATGGGCCCACTATGGCCCACGACACTACACTCCTTTATCCACTTGGCACACCCCCTTAGCCACTTGGCAGGAACCTGAAAGGCTACAAATTTCCACATGTTGTCGTCATGGTTTTCATGACACATGTACAAGGACAAACAACATGTACAACTGTCAAGCAACAGCTTTTACATGCATGCCGCGATTTCCGTTCAGTGCTCACAACGACGTGCGAAACATTCCAGCCAGTGTGCGGTCACAGTTTTCCACCCCGCCTTGGTTGGCATGGCTGTGACAGGGAGACGCGCGGATGTGTACATTACATGATCATGTCGTCCTGATTCCTGTTGAACTTGCTCTGCCACGTTTCGCAAAGCCGATTCTTGGTCGTGCTGAAACACAACTCTGCCCCAACCGTTTGATCCACGACACCACAGCTCTGACCACATAGGCCATTTGATGCCTTCTGTGGGACCAACACTATGAATAGCCATCCAGAAGTCGTGTCCGTGCCATACAAAGTGCTTCCAACTGTTGTTGCAAGGCGGAGATGCTAGTGGACAGACAACTAAGGGTTGTTCGGAGGCGCGGTTGAGTCAGCTGCGTTTACAGTGGAAGTTGCGGGGGCTGTCCGCTTGTTTTTGCCGTCACCTTTTGGGAAGCGCGAGCGTTGAAATAACGAGCCTAAGCTGTATGGCTTGTACCCTTCTCAGGGCAGAGCAGGGTAGGGGGGGACGGCTTCGTTTGCCGCTCGCCCGGGCGCCGCGCACCTGTCGTTGCCGAGGCCGCGACCCGCTGAGTGACACCGGCTCAGCCTGAGCGACGCCAGTGTCTTGGTGTCCAGAGCCCTTCCGTGTTTTTCGTTTGAGCACGCGGTCGCCTGCGTCTGCCCGCAGAGTTGCACGGAACGTCAGGCTCGCTCACATGAACATCGATGTTCCTGCCAGCGACGCGTGTTGCATTGAGGTCGCAAACGGCCTGAACGCAATGCACGAACGTAAGTGCGTGAACGAAGGAGAGAAGCGAACGAAGTACATTAATGCGCGCACCAAATAATAAGAATTGTGCGCACTAAAACACCTTGCCTTTTGGTCTCACCGCTCAGTAATTCTATTATTGTGTCCCCGTGAACAGGCTTTTACAGGAGTTATAGTTCCAGCACTCATGGACGGGCCCCATCACAGGTCAACTCCTGGAAAGTGAAGAGAATATTATGACGGCGTTTGTAAAGAAGTTTACGAATGCACGAAACGCCGGAATAATATGAACGAAACGACCGGCATAATATGCTAAAATACCATACAAATTAATAATAAAATTAGAAAGAAGTGAACGTAGTAAACGACGCGTGAATTTTATTAATTGAATTATTCGCTAAGAAGATGAAAAGAGGTCAAGGTGCAAACAGCCCACAGCTGACGAGGAAGACCACTATACTATAAATGCAGCACAGCATCCTGGCTCGCTGGGCTCGCAACAAATCATTTAGAGCGTGCAACCATTGTGTATGCCCCCTTGGAGTCCGCGGGCGATACGACCGCTGCTCAGGCGGTGAGGAGCTTGTCAGAGCGGGTAGATCGCGAGCTGGATGCTTTGAGGAACTCATCAGAGCAGCAAGGCGCAAGCCTGCAACTTCTGCAGCAGAAATGTTTGGAAGTCACTGGTCGAGTGGACGAATGGGACGATCAGAACGCAGATCTAGAAATGCCTGGAGAGGGTAGTGAGGAAGACGTCATCAACTACGCTTGGAAGGACAGTTCGAGTTGGAGGACCCTAAGTGTGAGCAGTTTAAGTACTTGGCTCACGTTTGATGCCTGACATGTCATGACATCCGTGAATCAAGAGTGATTGCATATGATTGCATGAGACTTGCCTTGGCAATGCCTTGGCTCAAGTGACCGGGTGAAAAAATGCTTGCTACGTCAAAGCTGTGCTTGATTGAGCTGTGACCAACACAGGGTCATCAGCCGTAGTTGTAGGTGCCATGGCGACGGACGATGCGACATCAGGACGCATCTACATCAAAGATCTGCCAGAAACTGGTTCTGATTATGAGGGCTGGCGCTTCACGTTCAAGAGTCAAATCTTGCGTGTAGCGCCGGACCCAGTGGCAGCCATGGCTTACATCAGAGAGCTGCATGATGAAGCGGTTTTCTTTGGCGATTTGGCGTCAAACTTGTCCGTAAACATGAACAAAACAGACGTGAATGTTTTCGCAGCGGTGGTTGCCGCGTGTCAGAAGGGCAAGAAAGGACCGGAGATCCTCAAGCTGATACAATCACGTGCACAGTTTGGTTGTGGTCGTCAGGCTGTCCGCATCGTTGATCAGCGGCACTTGCATGAGTCAACGCATTTAGCCACGGAGGCTAACACCAAGATCCAAGAGCTCAGTTGTTCTGGATTGTCGGAGCTTGACAGCTACATGGCATCTTTTTCGTTGCTTCGTCACCAGATGGGTTCCGGCGAGCATAAGTTCACGAATGCTGGGGCACATCACTCGGAAGAGGCCGCTGCTGCCGCGGCGGCAGGCGGCAAGTCTCAGGGAGGCAAGGGCAAGCACAAGAGCAAGAAAGGCAGTGACAAGCCGTGTGAACATTGCCACAACCCCGGACACACAGCGCAAAAGCGCTGGTTGAATCCAAAAAGTTCCGCTTACAGGCCGGACGTCGCGGCCAAAAT